TCAGCCATAAGAAGAAAACAAATCCTACCATTTGCAACAACATGGATGGAGCTAGAAGGTATTATGCTCAGTGAAATATGCCAGGTGGAGAAAGACAAGTACCAAATGATTTCACTCATCTGTGGAGTATAAGAACAAAAGAAAAACTGAAGGAACAAAACAGCAGCAGAATCACAGAACCCAAGAATGGACTAACAGTTACCAAAGGGAAAGGGACTGGGGAGGACAGGTGGGAAAGGAGGAATAAGGGGGAAAAAAGGAGCATTACAAATAGCACACATAATGTAGGGGGGCGGGGCAGGGAGAAGGCAGTGTAGCACAGAGAAGACAAGTAGTGACTCTATAGCGTCTTACTACACTGATGGACAGTGATTGTAATGGGGTATGTGGGGGGGACTTGATAATGGGGGGAGTCTAGTAACCATAACGGTGCTCATGTAATCGTACATTAATGATACCAAAAAAAAAGTTTCTACAGGATTCAAAGCAAGAGAAGATGCACGTGTGAACTATGGTTGCAGAATCAATGATGAGAAGTGTTTGGACATTGAAGGTAAAGCTAACAGGATTTACTGACAGACTGTAAATGTGGGAAAGGGGAGGAATTAATTATAACTTTCAAGTTTGGGTTTGAGCAACTGGTGCTTGTGGGGGCCATTTACTGAAAAGGCGAAGACTAGGAGCAGGGACATGAATTACGAATTATGCTTTGGACCGTGTTAAGTTTGCGGTACCTAGTAGGCATTCGGTGTCTGAAGGATCATTCCCTCCTGATTATTCATTCACCAAATACTGAGCACCTCTAACGCCAGCACCCTGGTAGGGGCTGTTCTGAAGAAAGGAGCCCATTTCTATGAGAACGTAGCACCCGAACTTGGCGAGAGGGGCAGGGTCAGCAGCCCAGGGAAGCAGGAAATCCCAGCTCAGCTGAGACCGAAACGAGGGCAACAGCGCAGCATGAAGAGCGCGTGAACCGGCTCTCGGGAGGGACGGACAGAGGGCCGCGGGCGTGGGGCGGGCGCAGCGAGTGCAGGGCGCCCGGCGAACCGAGGCTCCGGCCCGAGGCCCAAAGGCCCGAGAAGGCGCGGAGGGCTTTGTCCGGGGGCGCGAGGAGGCCGGGCCAACCCGGTAGGGCCTTTGGGAACAGTGTCTGCGGCTGCGGCGTGGAAAACACTAGAGGGGACCTGAGTCGGGCCCTTACCGTCCCCGCCCCTTGGGAGGCCCTTTTCCGGGCAGCGCGCACCTGCCCAAGGCTCTGGTTGCCGGGAAAGTGTTTTCCCAGATGTACAGCAAACCGAGGTCGCGTACGTCTCTCACCTCGTCGACACTCTCGTCGTCTTCATCCTCATCCTCGTCCTCGTCACTGTCCTCGTCGTCTTCGTGCTCATCCTGCACTTTACCTTCCTCCTCCTCGCCGCGCGGGACCGCGCTTCCCACGACACGCCGCTTAGGCCGGGACGCCATGCTGCCGGTCTCGCTGCGCCTGCGCAGCCCCCGCGGGCCTGTCCTCCCGGGCCCACCTATGCAGGCCGCGGGGGTGAGAGATTAAGGAGAACCTCAGCGCTAAATCGGCGGCAACCCGAGTGTCTCTGCTGGATTCCGCGGCCGCGAGCTCATAGATTCAAGTCCAATCCGGGGTCCTACCTTGGCCTTTTATTCCTCCCTCCATCCTCCCTCACTCCCTCCAACGCTCCCTCTCCCCTTCGCGCAGTGGTTCGACCCATCTCGGCTCTGGCCCTCCCGGACGCCATGTCGGTGCGCATGCGCAGGCTCCCGCAGAGAGCGGCTCGGGCTGCGCGACCCCCGGCCGGTTTGGGGCCGCCGGGCCAGCGCTGGACGTTGCCAAGGCCTCTCCGGCCACGTGGTGAGGAGGCCGCCCACCCGGCTAGACGCGCCGGCAGCCTCACCGTCCGCTAGTTGGCTCCGCCAGACACGGGCCCCGACCGGGCGCCGACGGAGCACCGGGCGCGGCAGCCCGGCAGGTAGGTGTCGCCCCACGGTACCGGCGGAGACACAGAAACCGCGGACGCGCAGGGCCCGCCTGCGTCGTGAGCTGGTACGAGACGCGTCGGAGCAGCGCCAAGGCCGCCGCCGGCCTGGGTGCGGGCGGTGGTCCGCGGTGTTGGGAGCCCAGACGGAAGGTCGCGGATCCGTGCAGATGTCCCCGCCGGGATCGGTCCGACCCCGGGGCGCCCCCAGCCCAGCGGGAGGCGTGGCCTTGTCTGGGATGGAACGAATCCGACCCGGGCCCCTGCCCCGACGACACTCCCTAAGCGCGTTTCCTTGACCTGAAGGTTTCTTTAAAATCAGGGATCCACCTTAAATGCTCCAGGGGCCAGTGCAGTATCTGAACAACAGCCCAGCGCCTGCTTTAAGAGAACAGGGTGGAGAGGACGATGGCAAGCTCGTCCTCGCCGCTGCAGCCAGTTGTGGAAGAGTGGGCATTAATAGGGAACCTAGAATTCTAGATATTTAACAGAAATAACAGGTTTTTAAAACCTGTGCCAGATAAAATTAAACTTCCAGGTAGGTTTATCCCACGGACTACCAGTTTGCAGCCTGTCGTAAAGACTTTATTTGGAAAGAAAAGAGAGAAGACGTCAGCTTTCTGAGGATGAGGTCTATGGTTTTGATCTTTCTGCTGTCTGTAAAATGAGGAGAGTGGAGGGGTTGGATGTGTGTGATTCTAAAATGGAATGGGCTGCCCCTGGTAGTGAGGTGGCTGCTGCTAGAGAAGTTTAAGCAGAATCCTGATGATGGTTCAGTGATCTTTCAGTCACAGAAAGTGGAGTCAGGATAACAAGGGGCCCAGAATCCCCGTGATTGTGTGTTGTGAGTTCCATTTTTATTGAGAGTCTGGGCTACCAGGCCACAACATAATATTCATATGCATACGCATCAGAGCTCTACGTCTGATGGGATAGCTTAAAATGGCCCCGTTGGGTCCCACAACTATGCAAAAGCAGCTTCCTATACTGTACAAGAGAGAAAGCTGTAAAAATACCTATCAAAAGGTTAGGATTAGAAAAAAAGAGTCAGAAGGCACAGTGCCAACATATCAATAGAGTTGCACTGAGACATCATGGGTAATTTTTCCATTTCTTTATACTTTTTTGTGGTAAAATACATGTAACATAAAATTTACCAATTAATTTTTAAGTGTCCAGTTGAGTGGCATCAAGTACATCTACACTGTTGTGCCAGCATCACCACCCATCCATCACCAGACCTTTTTTATCTTGCAAACCATAACTGTACCCATTAAACAGTAACACCCCATTCCCCCTCCTCCAGCCCCTGGAAACCACCATTCTACTCTGTCTCTGCATTTGACTACTCTAGGTAGCCTCAGATAAGTGGAATCATAATATTTGTCCTTTTGTGACTTGCTCACTTCACTTAGCATGAAGTCCTCAAGGCTCATCCATAGTGTAGCATGTGCCAAATTTCTTGCCTTTTAAAGGATTAATAATATTACATTGCGTATATGGACCATATTTTGTTTATCCATTCCATCAGTGGACACTTGGGTTGCTTCCACCTTTTGACCTACTGTGAATAATGCTGCTGTGAACATGGATGCACAAATAATCTGCTCAAGTTCCTTTTAACTTTGTGGGGTATGTACCTAGAAGTGTAATGGTAGGAACATATGGTAATTCTATTTTTTATTTTTTGAAGAATATACTTTTTTTGTAGTTGGCAAATTTTCCACAGTGAGCTTGTATTGCTTTGAGAAGTAAAAAGGGGGAAAAGCCTTACTTTGTACCCTCAGATTAGTTCCCAGTGTCGAGAGCTTACGGTTAGAGTGTGACTTAGAGGAGCAGATGTGAGTAAATGTACTCCATGGTTTTGTCCTTCAGGAAGACCCAGAGAACTTAACTCAGTCTTAGGTTAGATTTCTGGCTCCATCTTCACCTCTAGCTCAGAATTGTCTTAAGGGACAGAGCTGGTGGCAAGTGCTTAGGAGAATGGCCTTCAAACTTGGATTGATTCCACGACCTTGGGCACATTACTCAAACCTGCAGAACTTTGCTAACATCTTCTGTAAAATAAGAATAATGACACCTAGCGTGGTGGCTTAAATGAGGATTGAGAGCCTGTGTGTAAAATGCTCAGTCCCATAAATAACACAGAGTAAGTGCTCTATAGAAGGGTGGCTGTTTCTATTGCTGACACTCAGAATAGCAGAACACAGAAAGCATGAGTCTGAGGCCTGGCTCTTACCAGTGAAGTGGCCTTAATCAGGTCAGTTCCAGTTTCTTTAAGGAAAGGTGATCATTTACCTCCTTGCAGTGTAAATAAATATTTACTGAACACTGCAACTGGCTTTACCCATCTTGAACCTATTTGGCATAAATCTGATGCTGAACTCATAATTAACCCCACCACGCCTTCTATACAGAGTAGCTGAAATATGCGCACATCATCCTAAATCATCTGCTCCAGCAGAATATGAACACAGGATACCCAGGCCCCGAGGCAAACTTTCTAAGCCTTCCTTCTGAATCCTTGCGGTTGGTAGTAGGAAGTTCGTCACATAGCTCACAGTTCTATGGTGCTGGTCCCCCACCGGCCTCGGAGCACCTTGAGGGTGGGCACTAAGTCTGAATCGCGCCTTGCCTAGCACACTATACCCAGCATCACCCAGAAGAGACTTAGTGTTTCTTGGGTAAATGAAAGCAGTGTGAAGAGCTCCTCACTTGCCCAAATGAGAGCCAACTCTCTGCAGTCTGGAAGGCCAGCTCGTCCTTCCTTCCTTGTTGGTAAATTCTGGAGCTTCTGCAAGGTGTGGAAGGCAGAACAAGGTACACCTGGAACTCCAAGGAGGAAGTGGCAACAAAGGGCCTTGCTTACTTGCTCCCCAAGTGCATTGCATGGCATTCTCTGACTTGCTAAAAATCCAGAACTTAGCACTCAGTGTCAGCCTTGGATCTTGTACCTCCTGTGTGTGGTGGGAGTGCTAAGGGGGTGCCTCTGGGTCCTCTCTTGACCCCACTGCCTTCCTTGTCAGTTACGGCCTTATTTCTCTACTTATTTTCGTGGCAAAACTTGAGTTATCTACACTTACGTCTCCACATCTTTACCTCTGCTTTATTCTGTAACTTACTCTGTTATAGACTGGATTGTGCCACCAAATTCATGTTTAAGCCCCAATCCCCAGTGTGACTATTTGGATATAGGGCCTTTAATGAGATAATTAAGATTATAAGGGCACAGCCCCAATCCTATAGGACAGGTGACTTCATAAGAAGAGATACCAGACATCTCTGCACCGAGGAAAGACTGTGTGAGCACACAGCCAGAAGGTGACAGTCTACAAGCCAGGAAGAGAGGTCTCACCTGGAACCACCTGTGATGGTACCTTGACCTTGGACTTAAGGCCTCAAGAACTGAGAGAAAATAAATGTCTGTTTAAGCCCTCAGTCTGTGCTGTTTTGTTAGGTAGCCTGAGTAGACGAAGACACACTCCAGTCTGTCTTCCTTCTCCTTTGCTACGGTCTCCCCCACCCTGCGCCTCCTGACATGGTCTGACATTGAGAGTGCCTTAGGGTTCTGTACGGGGTCCACTTTTCTCTCCACAATCTCACCCTGTCCTCGGACTTTAAAGACCATCTGGACAGTGACAACTCCAAATCTTTGTCCTTTGAGCTGACTCCTCTCCCAAGCCCTAAATTCCTACCTGATTGCTCCATTTGGCCTTTTAATACCAGTACTCAAAAACTTTTTTGACATAGCACACCTGGTAAATGATAATATCCATACACATATTGCATACATAAATGGATGAGGATTTACAGTTTACAGCTAATGGCAGCCAGTCCTGGCAAGGGGTGAATGGGAGCCAGGTTTTGGCTGCCCTGGGCCCTACCCAGCTATCCTAAGGGCTGAGGGGGTCACGACTGCAGGCATAGACCCATTCATGCTCAAGTGGGCTACGGCACATTCTCAGATGTAATGTGTCCAAATTGGATCTTTTATCCTGATCCCCACCCCCCATCTCCTGGCAGTGTTCCCATTCTAAACCTGGGAATCATCCTTGACTCTGTCTGCCCACGTCCAGCCCAAGTAAATGCTATCAGCTCCAAGCGCAGTCACTTGTCCACTCTTCAACTGCCAGTCTACTCTCAGCCCATCTCTTACCTAAACTGTCTAGTAGCCTTCCTGTTTTTACTCCCTTTACTGTGCTCAGAGTCCTCTGCTGGTGTCCACACATATCATTCAGAATAAATAGCAAAGTCTTATCACAGCCTGAAGAGCCGAGCATGGTCTAGCACAGCTCTAAACCCTAAGCCTGTCTCCCAACTCCCTGGGGCCCCTGCGCTCCACGCCGTGGCTGGCTGTGTGCTTTCCCAGACTTACCAAACACTATCTTCCGGCATGTGTGCTCAGTTACTATCTGCCCCTAAAATTTTCTGGACAGGAATAGGAGTCTCCTTATCTCTAGTCCTGCATTTTTTTCCATCTCATCAAGCTGTATAAAA